TTCCCCGCTAGGCAGGTTCGCTGCCTTCGCACCCCTTCATGACCTGATCCCCACCCTTGTAGACGGTGAGACCCCGCAGGCAGATCATCTGCAGGGGCTTATCACTCAGGAGCCCCCCCTCACCCAGCAGGAAGGCTGCTGGGCGTTGACCACTCACTCACTCATTCAGGAACATTATGGGCGCCTGGCCCACCACGTGCTCATGTTGGGGGTTACACGAGGGGCCCCCGCCCTTGGCTTTGCCTTCCTTAGGAAGCTGTTATGACCCGGTGCCTGCCGGGTGTCTCATACTTGATGCAAGCCCTGGCCACACCCTGCCCATATGGGCCTTCCTGCCCATCCTGCAACAGCGGGCGATACACCCTGTCACTGAGGCCCTCACTGCGGAGAGCCCCAGGCTGTGCCCTCAAGCTCCAGACCACATCTAGCAGGTGCAGAGAGGTGGTTGCTATACTAGGAGCAGCACATTTCCTCTGGCCCTTTACCCAGTGAAAATAGCAGCCAACTCAAGCACAGGTCCGTGAACTGATCAGTCTCTGCAGGGCTGTACTGTTGCATCTGCACAGGCCCCAAAAGGCCCCAAGAGGGATGCAGTCTGGAGCCAGACCTGCAGGCTGTCCTGGGCACTGCTGGCCAGCAGAGTGTCTGTGCAAGAGCAGAGGAACTGCCCTTTATGAGGGTATGTGCCTCTCCACCTCTAAAAGACCCATAAAGAATGACTAGCCTTAGGGAACCTCCATTCCAAGTTCCTTGGAGGTAAAATCTAATCATCAGGTGGGGTTGCTTTCCATCATGGTGCATTGAGCAATAGCTGAGGGACAGTGTGCTCTCCTTAAAAATCTTGATTTGTCATTAAGGCTTCCAGTCTGGACTTGTCACTGATGAGACTAACCCACCCACTTCTTTAAAAAAAAAAAAACTCATTTACTTTTGTATTCCAGATGTATGCAGCCATTTAACAAGTTCTGTATGTTTAATGTCCACTGTGTTAACAACATAGCGCTTAGTCTACAGTAAGGTCTCAATAAATATTAGTTGAAGGAAGGAAGGAAGGACTCATAATTTTTCCTAAAACATTTCATTCATTTATTGGTGCTGACTCCCTGCCCTCATAAAGCTTACATTCTGGTGGTGTTGGAAGAATAATCAAATAAGTACATATATGGTGTTGTGAAATATGCCATAAGGAAAAATAAAGCAGAGAAAGGGTGTTTGGAAAGAAGGGAGAGGTTACGTTGTAGACGGCGGTTACAGATAGCCTTACTGAGCACCACAGGCATAGGGTACATGTAATGGGGTGGGACTGTGCTTGGCATATTGAGGGAGAAACAAAGAAACCAATGTGGCTGGAGCAGAATGAGAAGAAATTAGGGCAAAGAGGTGGTGAGTAGTGACTGGCCAGATCATGCAGGGCTTTGGCTACTTTAGTAAATGGACTTTGGCTTTCACTCTATCAGAGTAAAGTCCCAGGCGAAGCCTAAGCAAGAGGAATAATAGCGGTGAAGGAAAAAAAAAGAATAAGAGACTTTGGGAAAATGTTTAAGAATTTTGATAGATTTACTTTTATAATAGTATGAACTGTTAAAATTATTTATTATGCTTGACAGAAACAGGCAATGATACTACAGATAATATTTATTTTGTCAATAATGATATATGTTGCTATCCATTTTCAGAATTATGTAATCATAGTGTTGCCGGTGGATGCAACCGGTGTTTCAGGTTCTTGTCCCATCCCAGAAAGAATTCAGAGACAAGACGTAGAGGTTAAAAAAAGTAAAATGAGGATTTATTAAAGGATGGATAGTATACTCTCAAGGGGAGAGTGGACAGGCTCAGGTGAGCAGCTGCCCCATGTTTCTTTAGCAAGTTAGTTACATAGGGTGTAAAAATGAGTAGGCGGAATATTCATTGGGGAGGGAAGGGTTTGGGGTCGTATTCCTTGATTATCATCCCAACTCCACCTTCCCAAAGGGAGGAGGGATTTTTGTCCTTATTTAGTCTGGTTCAGAAGTGTCATGGCATCAGTGCATGATGGGTACTTCTGACCGGCAAGGCTAATTTTATTGAAATGAGGGCATAATGAGCAAAAGGTTACATTCAGACACTGGAAATTCCTGCCTTTTCTCACCTTTCTTTGTTCACCTCCAGGCCATTCATCACCCCAAAATGTGTGATCCTTTATCAGCCCAAAGGTTCCCACTTTTCTTTCTCTTCTCAGGGACCCCTGGTCCTTACATGATGTATATTTTCCTGCATTTGGCTTGTGCCCCTCTTTTCTGCCCCATTCCTGCCATTTGGTCTGTGTTCCCCTTTCTCTGCTCGTATCTAGCTATCTGCCTGCTCTAACAATAGGAGAATGCCAAAAACACTACAACTTATAAGGAAGTGCAGTATTGGCATAAGGACAGTCATATAGACCAAAGTAATAGAATAGAGAGTTAATTTTTAACAAGGATGACAAGACTACCCAGTGGAGAAAGGCCATTTCAATAAGTGATGCTTAGGAAACTGGATATCTACAAGCAAGGATGAAGTTAGAACCTTACCTTACACCACATACAAAAATTAACTCAAAAAGGATCAAAGAGCTAAACTTAAACACTACAGCTATAGAACTCTTAGAAGAAATAACACATCTTTGTGACATTAGATTCAGCAATAATTTCTTGTATGTGACACCAAAGGCACAGCCAGCAGAAGGAAAAAATGAACTGTACTTTATCAAAGTGAAAAACTTTTGTTCATCAAAACGAAAAACTTTTGTACACTATCATAGAGTAAAAAGACAATATATAAAATTGCAGAAAATATTTGCAAATAGTATATCTGATAAGTAATTAAAATCCATAAACTCATACACTGCAACACCAAAAAACCAAAAACCCCAATTCAAAAATGATCAAAGGACTTGAATAGACATTTCCACAAAGATACACATACAAATGGCTAGTAAGCACTTTAAAAGCTGCTCCAGATCTTTAGTCATTAGGGAAATGCAAATCAAAACCACAGGTTTTTCAATCCTGTGTCCTCTTCTACAGTGATTCGTGGGTTCTCTGGAGGGCCTGAGATCACTGGAGATATTTATCCTGAAACTCCCTTAACAGGGGCAATGCCTCTGTCAGCTGGCTCTTTGGGTCTCCCTCTCAGACCCTGGAAGACAGTCTTGGCCAATGTGGTCCCTCCCAAAATGACCCAGCTTGGCTCCTCTGCTTAGTTTTGCATCGGCCTTCTGAAAATATGTTTGCATTCTTGTCCCACTGAGTTCTGGATGTGGCCTGCTGTTGGAGAACTGGCCAGCCTCAGTCTTTCCCCTTCAGCGCCCATTGGGTAGAAAGAAGTGGAGAAAAGTCATGGTCCCTTGACTACTCTGAAAATTTTTTCTAGAGAAGTGCTCATTAAGGGTCTCCTCAATCTCCTAATAAATTCGCCTTCTCTTAAGTATTCTGAAGGTGATAACGGACTAATGCATGTAGAACTGGTTTCCCAGTGCCTCCCCACATACCCCTAAATGGGCTATATAGCTATTTTTTTTTTTAGAATTGGGGGGAATTATTCAAGCCATTTGTATTGTGGAGCCTCTGCCAAGACAGAAGGAAGTCCATTTTAATATCCTTCTACACTGGAACATTAAATCATCACAATCCCTATATTCCAAAAAAAATCTTTTACAAAGTATGAGAGTGTGAATGGGGGCAGACTTTATCTGCCATTCTTGCTCAGAATCACTGATAACCCTTAGCCTTCCGTGTGGTGCACGTCCACTGAGAGGAAACTCCGACCCTTACTCAATCAAGTAACCTCCTTCCAAGGGCTGGAACATATCCGTCACTGGCTTCTCTAAGCTTGGGCCCTAGTGAGACTCAGAAGAGCCCTTGCAGAAAATCTGGCCAAGCATATCT